TTGTTTTTTTGAGTTGGAGTCTCACTCTGTCACCCAGACTGGAGTGCAGTGGCTACTCCCGGCCACTGCAGCCTCCACCTGTTGGGCTCCGACAATCCTTCCGCTTCAGCCTTCCAAGTAGCTGGAACTACAGGTGCGCACTACCATGCCCGGCCAATTTTTGATTTATTGTAGAGATGAGGTCTCACCAAGTTGCCCAGGTGGATCTCAGACCCTCAGCCTCAGGCAATCCACTCACCTCAGCCTCCCAAAGTGCTAGGATTACAGGCTGAGCCACCGAGCCCAGCTTGTAATAAGTTTTAAAAAGAAAAAGTATGTCTTCCAATTTTGTTCTTTTTTAGGATTCTTTGGCTGTTCTGTGAGACTGTCCCTCACATTTTCACATGAATCTTAGGGATTATCAATTACTGCAAAAAAAGGCAACTAAGATTTTGGTAAGAATTGTGTTGAATCTGCAAATGAATTGGGGGAATATTGCCATCGTAACAATATTAAATCTTTTAAATCTATAAACATGGGATCTCTGCATTTCTTTATGTCTTCTAAGGGGTTTTGTAGATTTTAGTGTGTAAGCTTTCACTTCTGTTAAATTATTCCTACGTATTTTATCTTTTTGATGCTCTTGTAAAATGGATGTACATATTTTTGTACTTTGCTTTCTTCACTTAACAGTATGTCTTGAGGATTATTTCATATTGGCGAGATCATAATACTTCATTACTTCTATATGTAATTATCTTTTTTGGCACCTTAGGGTTTCATTATATAGACATACCATAATTAATCAGTTCTCTGTTAGTAGCCTTTAGATTATTTCTTTTCTTTGCTAATACAAACTACGCTGGAATATTTAATTTTGTACATAGGTGATTTTGTACCTGTTGTGAGTAGATCTGTAGGATAAATTACATTTACCTGGGCAATCACAGACCATGGGCATTTGTAGTTTTGGTTGATATTGCCAAATTGTCCTCCATAGAAGTTATCCCAATTCTCCCATCCTCCCAGTGGAATGTTAAGGCTGCTGCTCCCCTAACATAGCTTTCTTTATCCTTACACTGCCTTACCTTAGGGGCCTCTTTTTGTGGCTTCCCCAGTGTTCTGCTTCTACCCTCTCTCCTCTCTCCTCACAGGCATGGATGTTGTAAAGATTGGGGGTCCTGTCTACAGGATTGGAGTTGGAGGTGGAGCTGCTTCATCCGTGCAGGTGAGTGGGAATAGCTAAATGTGCAGACATTGTGATACCACAGGGCCTCACACCTGGGGTGGGTATGGGAGCCCCACCTCCCTGAGCTGAGCTGTGCCATATATACCCCCAGGTGCAGGGAGACAACGCTAGTGACCTGGACTTCGGGGCTGTGCAGCGGGGAGACCCAGAGATGGAACAGAAGATGAACCGTGTGATCAGGGCTTGTGTGGAGGCTCCCAAGGGAAATCCCATCTGCAGCCTCCATGACCAGGGTGCTGGTGGCAATGGTGAGGAAAGGGTTGGGTGGAACAAGGACCTGGACTTTCCTGGTCTCCTGCCAGATTTGGTGTAGGGAGAGGCACGGAGGGTCTACCACCATCTAGCCAGCTCTATCTGCTATACATTCTGAACAGGTTCAGGGTTGGAGGGTATAGAAGACTGCTGCCATGTGATGGTTGGTGATGAGGTGCAGCAGAACTCACACAGGAACAGACAATTAAGGGCTCCTTTGGAGGCTAGGGACTGCCCTCTGCTTGTCAGGAGCTGATCACCACCTCTCCCTGCAATCCTACCAGGCAACGTCCTGAAGGAGCTGAGTGACCCAGCTGGAGCCATCATTTATACTAGCCGCTTCCAGGTGGGTCTCATTTCCTGAAGTCGGGCTGTTCACCCACCCTGCTAACCCCGGCCTCTACCCATCTCCCTCAAAGTCCTAGCAACAACGTCAGACTTGGGAGCACCCACTGACCCTTCTCTTTCTCCTTACCATGCTGTGCAGTTGGGGGACCCAACCCTGAATGCCCTGGAAATCTGGGGGGCCGAGTACCAGGAGTCAAATGCACTTCTGCTTAGGACTCCGCACCGGGACTTCCTGAACCATGTCAGTGCCCGAGAACGCTGCCCGACTTGCTTTGTAGGCACCATCACTGGAGACAGGAGAGTGAGTTGGCATGGAATTGGGAGCAGATCCTGTGGGCCAACTTGAGCTGCTGGGGTATGGGCTGTAGTGAGAACTGTTCAGAGAGAGTGATGAGAGGAGATGGGAGATGGTGGCAAACAAAGTGTGGATGTAGGAGTTGGGGAGGTGTCAGGACTGAATAGGGGAAGACAAACGAGGCAGAGAGCATTTCTGCCCTAATTTCTAGGAGCTTTCCCTGCTGGTGCTCATAGTCTCTTTCCTTCTGGGTGCTGTCCCTGTGGCCTGTAGATAGTGCTGGTGGATGATCGAGAGTGTCCTGTGGGGAGAAATGGCCAAGGGGATGCCCCTGCAACAACCCTTCCAACCCCTGTGGACCTGGAGCTGGACTGGGTGCTGGGCAAGATGCCTCGGAAGGTTTGTGGGTAGAAGGAGGAGGGTGGGTTTCTCCTTCTGTGGCCCTTCTCTCCAGACCACCGTTTACCTTACGTATGCATTGTCAACTATGTGCCCAGCCCTGCCCTCAGTTCTCACACTCCTTGTCACTGTCTGTGTTGCAGGAATTCTTCCTCCAGAGGGATCTTCCTGTGCTACAGCCTCTGGTCTTACCCGCAGGGCTGAGTGTGCACCACGCTCTGGAGCGGGTTCTAAGGTTGCCTGCCGTGGCCAGCAAGCGCTACCTCACCAACAAGGTCCTGTCTGTACCCCCACTCTGCCCTCTGTACCCTTCCTCCACTCACTTACCCTTAGAGACTGCTGTAGGGGCTCATCAGACACTGGGGGAAGTGGCAGGGTAAGGGAGCCACTCTGACAGCCTGGTCTCCCTGCTCCCCATCTCTGATTGGAGTTCTTCATTTTGGGGGAAAGCCAGGCCCCCACCGTTCTGTGTTCCTCAGGAGTGAGTGGAGGAGCATATGCTTTCACTGTCCCTTGCTCTCTCACTAACCCCACCTGGTTTTGCAGGTGGACCGCTCCGTAGGAGGCCTGGTGGCCCAGCAGCAGTGCGTTGGTCCTCTGCAGACTCCTCTGGCAGATGTAGCAGTTGTGGCACTGAGCCACCAGGAGCTCGTAGGGGCTGCTACGGCCCTAGGAGAACAGCCAGTCAAGAGCCTGCTGGACCCCAAGGTTGCTGCCCGGCTGGCTGTGACTGAAGCCCTCACCAACTTGATGTTTGCTCTGGTCACTGACCTCCGAGTGAGTCCTCCTATAGCTTCTGCCCTGGAGTCCCAGGCCTTGGGGACACTTCCACATCCGCTTCATGCTTCTCATTTTATGTTCATAACCTTGCAGTCCTGCTGCATCCTCCAGACTCTGTATCTCTTTTCTCTAATTCCATACCTCTGCCACTCCCAGGACGTGAAGTGCAGCGGGAACTGGATGTGGGCAGCCAAACTCCCAGGAGAGGGCGCAGCTTTAGCTGATGCCTGTGAGGCAATGGTGACAGTGATGGTGGCCCTGGGTGTGGCAGTGGACGGTGGCAAGGACTCCCTCAGCATGGCTGCCCGGGTTGGCACTGAGACTGTGCGGGCTCCTGGTGAGGTCTAGTGCCTTGGGGAGAGGAGGAGGAACTGTGGGCCTGAGTTGGCAGCTTATTCTTTCTTACTCTTTGCTCTGCAGGGTCACTGGTCATCTCAGCCTATGCCGTCTGCCCAGATATCACAGCCACCGTGACCCCAGACCTTAAGCATCCCGGAGGGAAAGGTATGGATTCGTCCTGTCCCCATTGCATTGTGTTCTGAGCTTCGTCCTTGCTTTGGATCTGCCTTGTGAGTACTGGACCCCCTTGTCTCTACACTAGGCTGTAGTGCTTTCTGGTCCTGGTGGTCTGGGGGAATCTCACTGCATGCTGGGAATGACAGTATTGAGAGCATTTTGGAGAGGGGTCCTCCTGAGCTGTGCATCTCCCCTCACCCCTCCCTGTCTTTTCAGGCCATCTGCTCTATGTACCTCTGAGCCCTGGGCAGCACCGGCTGGGTGGCACGGCTCTGGCCCAATGCTTCTCCCAGCTTGGGGAGCAGCCTCCTGACCTAGACCTTCCTGAGAACTTAGTGCGTGCCTTCAGCATCACCCAGGGGCTGCTGAAAGGTGAGTGAAGCCCCAGGGGAGATGATGCGCACAGTACCAGGCACACAGCAGGTGTTTACCAGCTGAGTAGTGGGGCACAAAGGACTCCAAGGTCCTTCTCCCTGGCTCTCTGTGTGTGCCCACACCTTCAACTGACTCTCCAGAAGGTAGGATGGGACTTATAGGTTTGGGTCCCAGAGTTGCTCAGTGTTTTATCTTTCCTCCAGACCACCTTCTCTGCTCAGGCCATGATGTCAGCGATGGAGGCCTCATCACCTGTCTGCTAGAGATGGCCTTTGCTGGGAATTGCGGGATAGGGGTGGATGTGCCTGCCCCGGGGGTTGATGGTGAGGAACCCCAGATCTAGACTAAGGCCTGAGCCACTTTCTTCTCCCTTCAGATCCCATCTCCTATTAAAGAATGAAGCGCCCCTTGATGCCTGAGTCTTTTCTGTCTCTTCTGTACTATGTTCTCTGACAACTGAATCAAATGGAACTGATTGGTACCCACTGTGTTCCTGACTGCACCCCTCTGAGACCTTCCATCCCTGAGGTGTCCCTGATGAAATGTCCTTGGTTCCACCCTCCCAGCCCTCATCCACCCTGGCCCCTGCCCTTGCCATATGTTCCTGACTTTCCCTCATTTCTCTCCCAGCGCTGCCTGTGCTGTTCGCTGAAGAACCAGGCCTGGTGCTGGAGGTGCAAGAACCAGACTTGGCCCAAGTGCTAAAGCATTACCGGGATGCTGGCCTCCACTGTCTAGAACTGGGTTGCACAGGAGATGTTGGGCCCCACGCCATGGTGAGAAAGAGAGGAAGAGAGTCATGTACAGGGGGCAGTTAAGAGTAGGGTGGCCGTGGTCCAACTCTCTGCCAGCTGTGGAGGGGGCCATTCCCTCTCCTAGCCCTTGGTAGATTTGTCCCTCTCCCTAGATCCGGGTGTCAGTGAATGGGGCTGTGGTTCTGGACGAGCCTGTTGGGCAGCTGCGAGCCCTTTGGGAGGAGACGAGTTTCCAGCTGGACCGGCTGCAGGCAGACCCGCAGTGTGTGGCAGAGGAGGAACAGGGCCTGAGGGAACGCTCGGGCCCCAACTACTGCCTGCCCCCCACCTTTCCGAAAGCCTCCTTGCCCCGAGAACCTGGTAAGGGAGTATGTGCAGAAGCTTGGCTTCCTGGGATCATTGGGTCTGGATGCCTGGGTCTGCCTTATCAAAGATATCTGGGGAGTTGGAGTGGGAAAGTAATCCTCTGGTCTACATATACCCCTTCCACCCCAGGTGGTCCCACCCCCCGAGTCGCCATCTTGCGAGAGGAGGGCAGTAATGGAGACCGAGAGATGGCTGATGCCTTCTACTTGGCTGGGTTTGAGGTGAGCAGGGTGGGGTGGCAGAGCTGGGGGCCGAGATCCTACCTTGCCTGTGTGTCCTCTGACACTTTTTCACCTCTCGGTCTTGCCAGGTGTGGGATGTGACCATGCAAGACCTCTGCTCTGGGGCAATTGGACTGGACACATTCCGTGGTGTGGCCTTTGTGGGAGGCTTCAGCTATGCTGATGTCCTAGGCTCTGCCAAAGGTCAGTGTGCAGGCTTCCGCTCACTCCTTCTCTCCCATATTCCTGAAGAAGTGCTGTTAGCCCTCCTTTTTCTGGTCTGGGGATTGACCTGTGACCTCCACAAAGCTAGGAAAAAGTGGGTACATTCATTCTGAACCAGATGCCAGCAGAAGGCCTGTAGGTAACTGAAATGAGGCGGGTGGACCGGGGGGCTATGCCAACTTGGAGGGCAGATTATCCTATTGGAAAGATGACTCAACATAGCCAGGTTTTACTGTTTTTCAAGAGAAGCCAAATATCCAGATTTTTATATGAAATCTTATTTTTAGATACTAGGCAACTTAATAAAAATGTTGAGTGTTGGCTGTGTACAGTGGCTCACACCTGTAATCCTAGCACTTTGAAAGGCTGAGGCTAGAGGATTACTTGAGCCCAAGAGTTCGAGACCAGCCTGGTCAACATAGCAATATCTTGTCTCTACAAAAACATTTAAAAGTTAGCTGGGCGTGGTGGCACATGCTGGTAGTCCCAGATACTTCTGCTGAGGCAGAAGGATTGCCTGAACTCAGGAGATAGAGGCCGCAGTGAGCCATGATCTTGCCACTGCACTCTAGCCTGGACAACAGAGTGAGACCCTGACCAAAAAAAACCCAAAACGAATAAAAGGAAGAAAACAAAAGTTCTGGCAAAGCCAAAAAACAAAATCGTGAGTCATCTCTGCCCTAAGTGTTAGCAACATCTGATTTAAGTAGATAAACTCATTTCTTCTAGCCTGGAATTAGATTCCAGAAATAAAAACTATTATTATTATTATTATTATTTTAGTCAAAATCTCACTCTGTCACCCAGGCAGGAGTGCAGTGGCATGCTCCCGGCCACCTCAGCCTTGACCTGCTAGACTCAGACGATCCTTCTGCCTCAGCCTTTCAAGTAGCTGGAACTACAGGCGCATGCTACTATATATGCCCAGCTAATTTTTTGATTTATTGTAGAGACAAGGTCTCACCATGTTGCCCAGGCTGGTCTTGTCTTGGACTCCCAAAGTGCTAGGATTATAGGCTTGAGACGGCACCTGGCCGAAATAATGATTAATAAACCCTTTGCACTTGTCCCAAGCTCTTCAGAGGGGCCCTTAGGGAGAGTAGCAGTGCTTGCTGAGATGGGAGAACAGCTGTGCCCCTTCATTCCCGCTTCCCCTTTTCTGAGGTCTTCCTCATCTCATCCCTACTTTCTTGTTCTCTCCTAGGGTGGGCAGCTGCTGTGACCTTTCATCCACAGGCTGGGGCTGAGCTAAGGCGCTTCCGGAAGCGGCCAGACACCTTCAGCCTGGGCGTGTGTAACGGCTGTCAGCTGCTGGCTCTGCTGGGCTGGGTGGGAGGCGACCCCAGTGAAGATGCCCAGGAACTGGGCTCTGACTCCTGGCCAGCCCGTCCTGGCCTTCTGCTACGCCACAATCTCTCTGGGCGTTACGAATCTCGATGGGCCAGCGTGCGTGTGGGGCCCGGGCCAGCCCTGATGCTGCGAGGGATGGAGGGCGCTGTGCTACCAGTGTGGAGTGCCCATGGGGAAGGTCAGGCCCAGGCAAAGCAGGAGGGAGGATCTGAGGATGGGGGATAGGTAGAAAGCCTGAAGAAGCTTGGCTTTGACTTCACTTCTCCATTCTTCCCAGGTTACATGGCTTTTTCTTCTCCAGAACTCCAGGCCCAGATTGAGGCCAGGGGTTTGGCTCCACTGCATTGGGCAGATGATGATGGGAACCCCACAGAGCAGTACCCCTTGAATCCCAATGGGTCCCCAGGGGGTGTGGCTGGTGTCTGCTCCCAAGATGGCCGCCACCTGGCTCTCATGCCTCACCCTGAGCGGGCTGTGAGGCCTTGGCAGTGGGCATGGCGACCCCCTCCATTTGACACTCTGACCACCTCCCCCTGGCTCCAGCTCTTCATCAATGCCCGAAACTGGACACAGGAAGGAAGCTTCTGAGCAAATCGGGAAGGCTCACCTGGGCCTCATGGTTTGCCCCCTGAATATGTGCTGCCCTCCCTCCCAGGAGCACCCCATATTATTTCCAAAAGTATCTTGGACAGACAAGGACTGAAATGTAAAAAAACTCAGCTGACTTAGTAATCTGCCTGCTAATTTTGCCTTCCATTGCTGGATCTTTTTTTAGCTCTGCACTAACATGGTGTGCCCTTTCCTGGGCCCAAGAAACAGCCTGTGGTTCATGAAAAGAGCCTACAATGGAAAATCAGGGTGCATAGAGTCAAGGGAGGTGCCCCACTTTACCCAGTGAGCTCCATCTTGTCTCATTTCCCTCCTCTGGCTCTGGGGGATGTTGTATGCCTCCCTTTCTCATTATTAGTGTTTAGGGCATAGGGATGGACACAGAAAACTATGCAAATCAACCCCTTACTACCTCATTCTCATTTGAAAAACAGCAGCTTTCTGGATTTCTCTTAAAGTGCTGTGCTGTGCTGTGCTAAGTGTAAGGAATTGTTGCTTGCTTAAGTTTCTCTGACAAGGGTTCTGGCTGTGTCTCAGGGCTGGCCTGATGCTGGCCTCTGAACAGTGTTCCTGATGTTTGCATGTAACTTAGCAGCTCCCGTTCTGATAGAAGTGGTTGGCACCCTTATCCTTAGTACTGAGCCCTTAGTATGTTGAAATACTACCTCTTCATTCATTTCATTAATGTCTGATAACTCACTATTGTGCCAAGCACTGTCACTGGCCCCAGGGAGCTTATGTCTAGTGTTATTTAAAATAATCACTATATATAACACCTTGAGCCGAGCAGGAACTAGGCATTTTGTATGTATTTGAATTAATTCTCCCTGAAATTCAGCAAGATACTTGATAGCCCCTTCCACTTTTTTTTTTAACAAAGGAGGAAATAAGGTTGACTGCATAGCCCAGATCACACATCTTAGAAAGGACAGCCAGGAGGCCATGCTCAGCCATGCTGCATCTGCTTTCCACTATCTTGCATTACATTTTCTGGAGGAAGCATCTCAAGATTCCTTGCTGACAACTGTCTTAATGCCGTCCATTGCTTTCTTTGCTTTCACAAATATGAGTAAAAGTCCCTTCCTCATAACTGTTCTGTTGTATAACTCAAGTCAATTAGTCCCCTAGAAAGTTCAACATCTTGATTAAAGGAATTTCCCTGAGAATAGAGACTAGACTCTTGAATTGATCCCTGAGGGCATTGGGGCCTGGAGGTGGGGACAGGGAGGCTGAGCACTTCTACATATTTCTGGTAGAGAGTGGCCACCCTAAGAAGACACCAGTAATAAAGCAATGTTAAATTGTGAGTATGGAGAAAATAACTGTTTTAGATCTTTTCCTTATTGCTTTGCATACTGAGCTGAATGAGACTAGTAAGGATCACTTTTCTGTCACTCAGGCTGGAGGGCAGCACCACACTCCCAGCCACCATAGCCTCAACCTACTGGGCTCAGGCGATCCTTCCACTTCAGCCTTCCAAGTAGCTGGAACTACAGGCACACGCCACTATGCCTGGCTAATATTTTTGATTTACAATTTTGGGATTGATACCAAGGCTTAGATGTCAAGTTTACCAGTGCTTGATACAAAAATAGAAGAATGACGTGTAAGGATGTAAGGTAACCTGCTGGTTGGTTGGTGGATGTTACTATGGGTATGTAAATTCATGGACTTTGAAGGTGGAGTGGTTTCTAGATCACATAAGCCAAGCAAGGCCCACCCTCTTTAGATGCTGTCAAGACCAAGTCCATTTAGCTTCTTATCCGTATTTTCGTCAACTAGCTGTACACCACATCCTTACTGGCCCCTGATCCAGGATCTTATTACCACACCCTCACCAGCCCTCTAACAAACCCTACAGACTAGCTCTGTCCCTCCTTGCCTTAATAGAAAACCAGCTGTCCTCAGTGGAGAGCCATTTTTGCAGCCCCTCCAAGTGATGGCTTTTTCTTTTTCTGAGTTGGAGTTTCACTCTGTCACCCAAGTTGGAGTGCAGTGACACCAACGGCCACTGCAGCCTTGACCTGCTGGGTTTGGGTGATCCTTCCGTCTCAGTCTTCCAAGTGGCTGGAACTACAGGCGCATGCTACCATGCCCGGCTAATTTTTTGATTTATTGTAGAGACGAGGTCTTGCCAAGTTGTCCAGGCTGGTCTCAAACCCCTAGGCTCAGGCAATCCTCTTGCCTCGGCCTCCCAAAGTGCTGGGATTACAGGCTTGAGCCACTTTTATTTTCAAACCTTACATATCTCACCTTCCTCAGGATGAGGAGTTGGGTTTGGAACCAGGGTCCTCGTACCACTTCCAGACTTCTCTACCCAATTTGAAGAAAATCTTGCCCACTTCAGGTTCATGCCATACACTCTACCCACTTCACCCCTTCATTGTGTTCTACTGACTGCCCCCTCACTCCCTGTGGAAGAGGCTGCCAGTTGGTCCCCAATATCTGATTTCTCCCTCTAGAAATAGAACCCTCCACTATTTGAACTGGGGTTATGGCTGCTGAAAATAAAGACCTCCCAGCTTCCTTTCCAGTTTTGACTAAATTCTGGCTAATGGGAGAAAAAATGATGCATACAATTTCCAAGTGTTCTTCAAGGAAGAGTGCATGCTTCTCTTCATCCATTCTTGCTTCCTGCTCTCTGGAATACAGACATGACAGCTGCAGGTTCAGCAGTCATTTTGGACCATGAGGTAGCTTTGGGAATTGGTGCCATGCAGAGCAACAAAACAGGAGACTGGTTTTACACTGAGTGCCATGAGAGCCCTAGACAAGCTATTACTGGATAACTTGAGAGTAGGTAACAAACTTCTGTCTTGCTTAATCCCTGTTAGTTTTGGTGTTTTGTTTTGAGTTGGAATCTCACTCTGTCACCCAGGCTGGAGTGCAGTAGCACGCTCACAGCCACTGCAGCCTCTGCTGGGCTCAGGCTATCCTTCCACCTCAGCCTTCCAAGTAGCTGGAACTACAGGTGCACGCTACTACACCTGGCTTATTTTTTTATTTATTATAGAGACGAGGTCTCACGAAGTTGCCCAGGCTGGTCTCAAACCCCTGAGTTTAGGTAATCCTCTCGCCTCGACCTCCCAAAGTGCTGGGATTACAGGCTTGAGGCACCGTGTCCAGCCTAATTGTGGTGTTTTCTGTCACTTGTAGCCAAACCTTATCCTGTGCAGCCATTCCTAACTCCTCTTTCTTCAAGGGCATTAGGCCCTGGCTCCCAGTCTTGCTCTCCACCTCAATCCCTTCCGTTATCTTGGATCCATATCTGGACTGTCTAACACTGAACTTTTCTCCAGTGACCATTCCACCTTAGCCAACCAACTCACCTGGATTTTATCATCACTAAGATATGCTCTACCTCCAAAATCATCTATTCAGGGACTCTACTTCTGACCATAACCTTCCTTCCTCCCATCCTGCTTCTTCAACTGTGTACTATGAGATTTTGAAGTCACTGGGACTGCCAGTGTGATAACTACCCCAGTCCATCACTCCTTCTTCCTGTCTCATTCAACTTCCAGTAGCAGACTTTCCAATACCCTTTAAAACTTGACCCATTATCTTTTCATCATACCCAACCAGCTTTCTCTGAGAAAGTCAGACAATAGAAATGTCTCATAAATTCATCATTGCCCATGTGTGGAGGAAATGGAATGAGAACAAGAAGTAGAGATAAAAGGTTAATAAAAGAACACCAGGCCAGGTGCGGTGGCTCAGCCTGTAATCCCAGCACTTTGGGAGGCTGAGACAAAAGGACTGTCTGAACTCAGGGGTTCGAGACCGGTCTGGGCAACATGGTGAGACCTTGTCTCTACACTAAATCACAAAAACTAACTTGCCAAGGTGGCATGCGTCTGTAGATCCAGTTACTTGGAAGGCTGAGGCAGAAGGATTGCCTGAGCCTAGCAGGTCGAGGTTGTGGTGGCCGTGGCTGTGACCGTGCTGCTGCACTCCGGCCTGGGCGACAGAGTGAGACTCCAATTAAAAATAAACAAAAAACACTCAAGTGGACCTTCAATAAAATGTTGTGAGCTGAGTGGTATGGTAACCTCTGACCCTGAGAACTAAAAAACAAAAACCATTGACAACAACATCCATACCTGATGATCAAATCCTGTCCTTCCTTTGTATCTCAGTTGGGTTTATAGCTCTCTGCTCAAATCCTTTGTTAGCCGCAGGAGGTTCTTACAATAGCCTCAGATACCTCCCTTCTCAGCCCAAGTCACTGTTGTATATTATTTTTCCACCGTTGCAATCTTACATTGAACTCTTTCTTTTATCAAAGATCTGTCTCCCCAGTAGAATATAAGCTTCTTGAGACCAGGAACCCTGTTTTTGCTCCCTGCTGTTCTAATACTTAGCACAGTGTGTGGCACCTACTAAGTGCTATAAATATATGTTGAACAAATGAATAAATATGAACATTAAAATTAGTGAATGTTGGTATATATTTGTTCCCTTAATAGAAGAATGAATTAGTGGATTGGGTTCACAGGTGGTTTGGCTTTATACCTCCTCTCAAGCATTTTCCCTTTTTACCTCATTTGTCCAGTCATTTGAAGTTACAAGTTCTTTTATTTATTTATTTATTTATTTTTTGAGTTGGAGTCCCACTTTGTCGCCCAGACTGGAGGGCAGTGGCCACTCCCGGCCACCGCAGCCTTGACCTGCTGGGCTCCGGCGATCCTTCCACCTCAGCCTTCCAGTAGGTGAAACTACAGGCGTGCACTACCTCGCCGGCTAATTTTTTGATTTATTGTAGAGATGAGGTCTTCCCAAGTTGCCCAGTTGGGTCTCGAACCCACGGGCTCAGGCAATCCACTCACCTCAGCCTCCCAAGGTGTGGGATTACAGGCTGAGCCACCGAGCCCAGCTAAGTTATAAATTCTTATTATCAGATCAAATGAAGGATACTGGCCCTTTGGTGGTGAAGAGACAGGGAGAGACAGTAAGTCTCTTTTCTTCCTTCCTTCCTTCCTTCCTTCCTTCCTTCCTTCCTTCCTTCCTTCCTTCCTTCCTTTCTTTCTGCCAGAGTCTCACTCTGTCACCCAGGCTAGAGTGCAATGGCACGCTCATAGCCACCACAGCCTCGACCCGCTAGGCTCAGGCAGTCCTTCCACCTCAGCCTTCTAAGTAGCTGGA